GAAATTAAACACCAATTTAAAAAATTAAAAAAAAAAACTGTTTTCATGATTATTAATCAAGTTGTGCTTGATTTCTCTTTATTGAATATGAATCCAAACGATTTGTCATAAAACAGAATGAACTTGATTATAATTATTTTTTTCCAAATGTCAGTTTATATTTTATAAGTTTTCTATTTGTTTCCTTAAATAACTACAGTGATCAAATTGCATATTTTTTTTAATTATGATCACTAAAAATAATAATGCCTTATTAAATGGTATAAATATTTTCTTAGTATTTTAAGCTTAAATATTGCTCCTATATTCTGTTATTGCTCTCTGAAACTACTTCAATTTCTCAAGTTCTTTTTGCAATCAAATATGTTCAGGATATCATTTTTTATTAATTAATATCTACTTTTTAATAAAATTTTACCATTAGATTTATTAAGGCATTTTAATTTGAATGAAATAATTTTGCTTTTAAACTAAATGTTTATGGTCTTTAGATTAAATTGTGACTACATAAAGAGGTTAAAAATATATCTCAATTGGATATCCACTCCTAAGCTTAAATCAGAATTCAATTCTTGTCTCCTAAATCTTTTTATAAAGAAGGCAAAGAAAAGGAATGTTTGCGTAAAGCTTAAGGAAACTTGAAATATCATCAGTTCTTTTTTGTTAACTTGATGATCTGAGAAGGAAGCACAGCTTATACAACACAAATTGAAATATACTTTTATTTCTAACATGTTGAAATACAACCCACTATTCTAAAAGCTCATAGTAATTGAGTACAAATAGATAATTTGAAATGTTATAACTTTTTTTTAGATGTTTTTAGAGTTTACAATTGTTAAAGGCTTAAATTTGAAAGTGTATAAATTTATACAACTCTCATAGATGCCATTACCTTAATTAATTTTTTATTAGATTAGTCCTTTTATCCTTTTAAGCAAGACAAAAATATCAGCCATAGTGTACTTACATCATACAATTCCACCAGCAGGAGCACAAGTCACACAGAGAAAACACTTTGGGTGCTGGGGAGCAGTCAAAAATCTTCCTTTTTCCAGGTGTTGGGGATGGTGGAGTCGGTTTTGGTTGTGACATATTTTACCTGCCCTTTGGACACAAAAACAGAAATGTCTCAATGTTGAGCTTTAAGAAATCTGGCTTTTTAACAAGTTTTAGTGGGAAAAGAAAATTTTTAAAAAAAAGTGTTCTTCCTCACAGACAAACTTCTACTGATTGAAAATTATTTGTAGATACTTCCTTCAAAATTTAAATTACTAACACATCATGTGATGAAGACGACCACAACAACAACAATTATCATGACAAATCAAAGGGAATGAATCTTTAGCTGTATTCCCTGTGGGCGGAGGACAAAGGCTAAATAGTTGATGGTAGTGAGGATATGAAAGATTTGGTTGCAGGTGGTTCTGTGAGGGTGGGGCTGGAGTTGGAAAGAAGAGTAAGTATTATAATTTTCTAACTCCCTTTCACCCATCTGTACATAAACAGCAGGCTACTGTCTAGTCATGTGGTTTTTACATCCTATTGTATTTTTATAATAATCCTTGAAAACCTATTTAATTATATGTGTTCATTAGTACATGTCTGTATATGTGAGAATATTGTGCAGATGGATGAAAGACTGCAAACACAGAAATGTGCATACCATACAAAATAAGTGTGTGTGTGAGAGAGAGTATGTATGTAATATATAATTTCTAACTTGTTGCTTGTAAGTCTCTCTATCTATCTATATATATATATATATATATATATATATATATATATATACACACACACACACAATACATGAACAAATATGATTTTTCCCTCTCTTGCCAAAAATTATAGTGGAACTTTTTTTCACTTTCTTTTGAAAAATCCAGATTGTTCAGTTATTCAATTTTCCCCCCTCCATTTTAATCAAATTTTGTTTGCATATTTTAAAAATTTATTTCAGCTTATTTTTCATATTAGGATTATGCCTAGATTGTATCATTCTTTAGAGGTGTTAGAGAATTGATTTATGATACTTTTGTTGACTTACAAAATTCTTCAAATTACATTTTAACAAGGGGAATAAAAAGAAATTCAAAACCTTAAAGTTGATAAACATATTAAGATGTATAGTTTCTTTAAATTTTAGATGTAATTAAATGAAAGATAGAATCTAGTTTATGCTTGATAGCCCCTAAAAGTTTCTTGGTAAAATTTGCAGTCTTCAGGGGTTGTGGTTTTAAATGGTATTTCCAATTTTTTCAGTTTATTCCGCATCTTTTTCAGTCCACTTTTTACACCATTTTGTACACATACATATTCATGAATTTAACATTCTTTTACACATGCATGTTCATTAAATTTTGCTTAAATGTAAGCCTTTAATTTTTTCAGTTGTAGATTTTTCTTCCAGTTTTCTTCAAAATAAATTTTTTCTTCAAAATTTAATTTTTTTTTATGGTTTATATAGAAGTTGTTATGTTATATCATTAATTAAATTGTAATATCTGTTAATTTTTATTATTAATTAAATTATCATATTTTAGTTAATAATTTTAATTAATATTTTAATTGATTTATTATGTTATTATTTTATTATTATTATTAAAGTAATAAAGTAACAATATGGGGTACTTTTTTAATAATTACTCATTTAACTATACTAGGTATATTATTTTGTTTTAGAATGTCCTTCATGACTACACATGTGTACAAAAACAGTGTAAAAACATGGATTGTAAAAGACGCAGAACAAACTGAAAAATAATTGGAAATACCGTTTAAAACCACAACCTCTGAAGACTGGAAATTTTACCAAGAAACTTGAAGTCAGGATAAAATTGATATTTAAAAGTTAGGTAATCTTTTCATATAATATTATATATATATATATATATATATATATATATATATATATATATATATATATAAGTATTCATTCAAACAAGTTTGATTAAAAGAAGCAACAAGGTATGTCTGTTTAATTTATTTTTGTATTTTTCCAGTTTTCAGATAAGGTGTTGAAGCATTGCACTGGAGATTGTGGATAAACTGTCCGAAGTTGATATTTTGTTATTTTTGTTTGAGTACTTTTGACTTTCACAATCATTATCAAGAACTGATGTGGTGTCAGTGCAGTGGTTAGAATTCCTTTATCTGCATCCTGGAATTCTTTTGGAAACTGGATGTTATAGACAAGAAAAATTTGTGCTCTCCATCAGGATTTGAACCTGCATCTCTCAGTGCAGAGAGGGCTACTGTTAATGGCACAAAATTTGACCTCACCTGGCTGGCTGCTCTTCATGGCCAAATTGGTTATGGTGTGCCGGGCTTAATGGTAGCTCTCTCTGCCTTAAGGGATGCAGGTTCAAATCCTGCCAGAGAGCACATATTTTTCTTTACTAAGATTTCTTAAACATCCAGCCTGGTAGAGGAAAATAAATAAATATACTGTTTAATAAATAAAGCATCTACTCAAATATGAACATCCACTAAAAGTAACATTTAAAGTGATTAAGGGAAAGATTATAATTGTTCCAACAAGAGAAAAGTGTATATTTTAAAGAGAGAAGAGAAGAAGCCACAAACGTTTTTGATTAGAATCTGGATGTTTTTTTTATATACTTTATTCTATATAAGGGGTAATAAAACTTTGTCAGAAAAAGGGAAGGTTACAAGACCTGAAATGGGTGTAGCAAAAAATATAGAATAAAGTATATAAAAAAAACATCCACATTATAATAAAAAATGTTTGCGTTTTTTTATCTTTAAAATATAAAACAAAGAATATACTTCACCAAAAAATGATTGACCAAGATATTCCTGGAAGATAATATTTTTCAGACAAGCAGTTTTTGTAATTACAAGGCTCAATATCAAGGAATAAAGTATTAATAATAATAATGATGATGATAATAATAAATAATAATAATAATAACCTATTCCTGTTGTGGTTAGAACTTTGGGTCTAAAGAAAGGATCTCTAGAACAAATAAACAAAATCCCTAGTGTATAAGTCTCCAGGAAATCTAAAAAATAGTTCTAACAAGCAGAACCTATATCCTGCAAAAAGATTTGTCCATTTGTTTTTTGTTCATGTCTTTTGTTTAACTAAAAACAACAAAAAATCACATCCTTTGCTTGACCAAGATCATTTCAGATCAAATAGAATATTGTTATAGTAATACTAATAGGGTTACTTATCTGTCCTCATCAAAAGATGATTTTGATTTATTTTTATGTCATATTTTCTAAGTTATCCATATATTTTTTGAGGTGATTTTTAAAAAGTTGGTAACAAACAGAAAATAAAGTTTTTGGTCCAATTGTAATTCTTTTCATAAAAATACAATATACAAATTTCTATTTGTTTTGAAAACAGATGTAAGTATATTAAACAAAGTTACTGCTGAGGGGAAAGGTGAACTGAGGTTAAAATTATTTTTTCTTTGTTTCATTATATTAATTAATGTTTGTGTAAGGAATTTGTTTCCTTTGTTCTTGTGTAATTACTTTTATTTGTTAGCATTTTTTTCTTGTCATTTTAATTTAATTTTTCTTTTTTATTATATTTCCTTGGCTGTTTTAACACCTCAACCTCTGTGTACTAAATCATTTAACAAAATCAAATACTAAAAGTATGAAATTTTCAACAGAAATTTTCTTTCACTCACTGTATATTTTGAAATTGGAATTTAAAGTTAATTCGGTAATAACATAGATTCTACAAATCTACAAAAAAAAAGAGTCTAACTGCAATTGACAGATATTTTAAATTTAAACCTGATAAATCACGGCTTTAATTTGAAGTGCCATGGCATTTACGCAGATTGGAATTTAAAGTTACTTTATACATTGAACTTACCACAACAGAGACTTATTACCTAGAGAAAAATGAATGTTGCATATAAAATTGAATTGTTAAGTTTTCTTTCTTTATATTCTCACTATTTTTTTAATAAATAAATTAAAAAGAAAATATATTTTGTTTGGTTTAATTTCAGAACATTTTGAGTGCTTTGAAACAAGTCACTTGTGGACGTACAACTATTGTCATTGCTCATCGTTTATCTACTGTGACGGATGCCGATGAGATCCTGGTTTTGAACCAAGGACAGATAGTTGAACAAGGAAGCCATCATGCTTTACTAAACATCCCAGATTCCTTGTATTCCTCTATGTGGTACCGACAGTCTTTGAATCGTGATGAATATGAAGAATGGTTGAAATCACAAGAAGCAAAAGCTGGTTAAATCTGTAAATAACTTAAAGAAAATACTATTTTGCTATTACTGAATGTCTTATTTCAAAGAGTTTTAAAAGATTTTGATAGCATCAAGCTATTGTACACATGAAGTATTTAAGGTGTAAATTTATCAGATTTACACAATGTGTTGAATGGGGAGAAAGAAAGAGATATATAAATTTAGAAAACTCTTTTTATGTTACTTCAACTTTGAAAATTATTATTGTTAGTTTGAAGGCAATTTTACATGGTGCTATCTTATATAGTCTCCCTTGAATTATTTTGGATGATCTTAAAGGATTTAATTTTTTTTCTTTTATATTAGAATAGTTTCAGAATTTCTTTGGTAGATCCAATTCATAGTTTTTCTAAATTGGTAGTAAACAAGTCTTTTGAGATGGATGGTGATATCAATAAAAGCCCAGAATTTTGTGTAAAATGTAAAAATACATATTTAACAAATAGTACTATTCTGAAAATAATCCTCAGTTTTGTGGATTACTGACCATTTGCAAGGAATACCTGAATCATACTTGAGCTAAACTGCCAAATATAGTGGTGTTAGAATTTTAAAATTGTTTTGAAGACAAGAGTAATTAATAATTCTGAAGTTGCTAAAATGCTTGCCTCTCTACAGTATTACTCATTCATGCAATTTAACACACCTGTTTTCCTCAATTACATTATGAAAAAAAAATACAAGTAGTTGTCGACTTACGATGGTGCTTGGTTCTGACAGACTGGTCGTAAGGTGCACAATGTTAAATTACCATGCATATAGTATGGTGTGTCATGATATGGTGCCATGATATAATAATAATAATAATTTTTTATTTAACTCTTCTTCTTTCTCACCTCCTTTTCATCTACCCTTTTCTGTGGCTCTCTTTCTTCTCTTCCTATTGTCACTTATTATTTTCTTCTTCTCTCTCATTGTTTTTATCCATTTAATATCTATTATCGGGAGATAGGACTTTCATAAATTTCGTTAACTTTGAATCGTCTGTTTTTTTTTCTCATCAGAAATTACATGATATGGACTAATTGCATCATATATTATCCATTCATTCCTTGTAAATCATTCAATGTTTGTGTCTATTGTTTCAAAATGTGCAAGGGCTTTATTGAGTTGTGAGAAACCTTCTGATAATCCCTTACTTGTGAACATCCATTGTGGCTTCTCCTCCTCGGGCTCTCTTTTCTTCTTCCGCAACTTTTTCTTCTATCAATTCTTCATTTTATAAGTTCTCCCAATTCCTCATCAAGCAACTCCTCAACATCTATATCATAGTCCAACAAAAGGTCTTTTGCCAGTTTCACTATTTTGTCATGTATCACATCAAGTTCGTTTTCACTTTTAAACTTAGCAAAAATATTCATGTAATGCTTAACACAATGTTTCCAGTCACTGTTCATGCATTTTTCAGTCACATTTTTCTACATGATAGGAACATTTTTTATGCACTTAAGAATATTATAGTCCTTCCAAAAGTCACACAGTGATATTTCTGGGTCAGCATCTGTAACAGTTATTGTTTGGGAAAAGGTGGCTTGCAGATAATTTACCTTAAAGGCAGCAATTGAACCTTGATCCATGGGTTGAATAAGCGTGGTGGGGTGTTTAGGGGCCAAAAATCCACTTTCACATTGGGATGGAGATCATTTAAGTATGTGGGATGTCCAGGTGCATTATCAAGCAGCAGTAAAATCTTGAAGGGAATTCCTCTCTCTCTCTCTCTCTCTCTCTCTCTCTCTCGACAATACTCATGCATTTGAGGAATAAAACAATTAATGAACCAGTCTTCAAACAGTCCCTGGGTCATCCATGATTTATGGTTCAAATGATAGTAGACTGGCAAAGTGTGCTTGCTAATGTTCTTCAATGTTCGCGGGTTTTGCTGTGGTAGATAACGAAATGTTTAACCTTGAACCTTGTGATGTTCCCACCAAGTAAAAGTGTTAGCCTGTCTTTGAATGCTTTAAACCTGGTCATGCTTTTTGCTTCTTTGTGAATGTAAGTACATGCTGGCATCCATTTCCAAAATAACCCTGTTTCATCCACATTAAAAATCTGTTCTGCACAATAACCCTCTTCCATAATTATTTCATTAAGATCGTAAACAAACTTACGTACACTTTCCTCATCTGCACTGGCTGCTTCTCCAGTCACACAAACATTATGCAATTGAAACCATAGCTTGAACCACCCAGTACTTGCCACAAACTCTGGTGTATATTCATCTCAGGCACGTCCCTTTAACATCTGAAATAATCTTCTTGCCTTTGTCTGGACAGTATAAAAGCTCACTGGTGTCCGTTTTTGAATTTGGTCTTCAATCCAAATGTGAAGTAATTTCTCCATTTCATGGAGAAATTACTTCACATTACTTCAAGGTACTGTCATTATGAAGCAGTACCTTGCTTCATAATGACAGTACAACACATGAGGGCTGAACCTTTCAAGGTTTCATGGATCCTTTCTTTATCCTTAAGAATTGTTGACACAGTTGCATGGGATAAGTTCTTATGTGTGATCACACTACTTTTGTTTTCTACTTCATATTTTTAATAACCATCATTTCAGTGTCCAGATCAATTGTCTTTCTTTCCTTCTTGACAGGCTTAGGAATAGGCAGAGATAATTTCCTCTTGGAAGACATTGTGGGGTGTTTTGAAATATATTTTAGAAGACATGGATATAACTTGACTGTACTGTTACAGGCTACTACTGTATCTGGGTAGCTGTGCAGAAACTGTCGTACATATGCAACACACTTTGTGTGCTTGCTTACTTTTACTTTTCAGATGTATGAGTTTTAATCACACATGTCATCGTTGTAAAATTGAACTGTCAAAAGTTGCATATGTCCTAAGTCGACAACTACCTGTAGTTTGGATAGTAATTTTTCTTTTCTGTCCTTACAAAAATTTGTTAATGTAGATTTTTCATATTTAATTGAAGATGATGGAATAATTCTTAATCTGTGAATCTTGAATGGGGCTGAATATAAAATGATAATCTGTTATTTTAGTTTATTTTTGCTTTTCTTTAATAAAACTAAAATATGTAAAAATTATTTTGTGACAACTTAATCTTTACTTTTAATATATAGACATACAATAGAAGTTTGATATCATAGTCCATCAAATAATAAGCATTTTGTTTTTATATGATAGGTTTGTGTATGTCTTTTGTCATACTAATTCTTCAAAATTCATGCCATCCAATAAATTTGTATACTTAAAAATTCTGGCATTTGCCAAAATAATTACCACTGTACATAGAGAATGAGAACATATGAAAATGAAACTACATGGTGTGCATCCTGTTAAAAATTATGTTAGTTTTTTAGACTTTGCATAATTCTACATTTACTATATTCTTATTTAAGACTTGACTAAACACTGATCTTGATTAAATATATTTGATTCAGCATAATATTCAGTAGTTAGTTTAAATTGTATTGAATTATATTAAGATTTTAAAATTGATAAGCTGTACAATTGTATTACTTTGTTGCAATTACTAATAACTGCTGCTAAGTTGAGAGAAAACCGTTAAATATCAGCTAAATGAATTGGTAAATACACCCAAATTATTTAATATGACTAAAGAAATCTAATTTTTATTAAAATCTGATTCAATTACTGTCTTATGAATAGTATCCAAGAGAAATAAGGTATATTTATTCTCTTGAGAATGTAATTTCAGCAAAGTTTAACCTTCATGTTCACAAGAAAATGGTGTTTCAAAAGAACATTTTTTTTGTTGACACTGCTTACCTCATCTCTCTTGGCAATTTTTATTTACAAATTATAAAAATATGTGAACCAAGTACAATGTGATATTTATTATTTACCATTTTATAAAAAATTATTATTTATCATTTTATAAAGAAATAAATTTGAAAAATATTTTTATTAAATTTTATAAAATAATCACAATATTTTTATTAAATTTTATAAAATAATCACATTTATTAAATATTTATTATTTACCATTTTCTAAATACATAACTATGAAAACAATTTTTATTCATAATTTTATAAAAATATCTATGAATTGTAGAAGAAAATTTAAATAAACATGATTTTCCCAGACATTATACATTTTCCTTTCAAATTATTTTATCTCAGATTACTTTGTTATAATTTTCCAATTTTTTATAATCATAATATAGGATGCCTAATCAATAGAAATCCTGAAACTCTCTTAATTATGTTATATCCCCCCCCCACACACTTTTTTGTATTTAATTCATCATTGCTAATTTTAAGAAAAATGTCTAGAAAATCTGCCAATAGATTATTTATTATCAGACTGATGAAGAAATCTTAAATGAAGAGTGGACACTAAGTACTTTGAGTAAAACAATTGGTGAAATTGGCTAATAGAGTCTTTTGGAGTGGTTGGCAAAACATTGGATAATTGCTAACTGAACTAAACTTTATAAAATAATAAATTAAACTTTCAGTATAGTTCTCATATTTATTTATTTTTAAAATTTATTAAATGATAATCATTGTGTTGTAATTTGTTTGCATATTTTTTTATAATGTTGTAAATATAAAATGAATCTTGTAAATAAACAATCTAATAAATATTTTTTTGTCAAAAGAAAATGTATAAATTCTCTTTCATATGTTTTGTGTTTTATTAAAATTCTCGTGTTTTAAAACAATAAACATTGCTAAGGGGGTTGAGGTAGTATACAGTCCTTTTAACTTACTGGTTTTTTTTGTGGGCAGGAAGGTTAAACTTTACCATAATTTCATAGAATACTTACACTATTGAATACAAAATACAAAGAATAAAAGTATATTGGTCACTTTGACATTGCATATTAAATTAAATCTAGAATAATATAATCTGCTTCCCATAGTTTAATATTTTATCTTTATCTAGCACTGTATCTTATTCTTAGTTGCTGTGTGATATAAATTTATTTATCACAAATTTATGCAGTTTTGTGTTAAGAATCTGATCTAATAACAGTTTATCTGTTT